ACAAGCAGAGAGCAAGCGACTGGGGCTCGCCAGCTCTGCGCTGCTCCTCCGTGGGGTTGTCCCCAGACAGCGTCTCTTCGGAAGGTGACTTTATCTTCTCAGCACTTGCAGTGTTTTATGTTTTACCTGCTGTGGCCTTTGTTCGTTCCCATTCCCAGGACACCGTGTCCACCTGCTGGACGTTTTATTTGTATGTCAGGGCTCGGCACGTCTACAAACAAACCTTGACCCCGTGTCTCCACTTGCAGAACAGTGTCCCGTGCGGGTTTCTTTTTCTGGTGACGGTGTTGCCCAGGATCAAAGCCGTGGCTCTTATTTATTTGGGCAGGTGTCGTAAAGGTACATCCAGAAACTGCACCATCCCAGCGACCTGGCGTGCCTCTGCGCGTCCATAGGTCTGTCGTCCAGCGTTCGCGGAAAGGAATGTAACGAGCACGGAATGGCCAGGCCCATGCTAAGAAGCTCACATGTGATTTTCACGTTAGGTTTGAGTCCCCGCCAGGGCACAGACTCAGGTTGTGGTTTAATACCCGTGTGAAAAGCAACCGATCGGTGTTTTCTCTCCCTCTCTCCCTCTCTGTCTCTCTCTCTCTCACTCTCTCTCTCTCCTTGTCTCCCTCCCTCATTCTGTTTCTCACTCTCTCCCTCCCTCCCTTTCCCTTCCTCTCTCTGTCAAATCAATAAAAACATAAAATTAACCATTTGTACGCTGTAAGCATCTATAGATGCAAGCGGTGGGCTTTTTTAAATTAAATTCAAAATATCGTGGCAGTAAACTGGTTAAAAACAAAAACACAAGCCAGGAAGCTTTGCACACAACGAGACATCCCGCATTTTAATGATTCATCAAAGAACCCCTCTCACCTCGTCAGCAAGGAGCCAGAGACCCAGGAGGTTAACTCCCTCACCCAGAGGCTCTGCCTCCCAGGAACACTCCCCGGTTTTTTTCCCACCATCACTCGATGGGCCGCGTGGTTTGGGTTCATCCCCTGAGTTTACCGCATTGTGGTTGATATTGTTCTAGCATTAGTCCAAATGGTTCTAGAAGGGCTACCTGAAGCAATAGAATAGCCACATCGAGCTCGACTCTACCAAGTGGAAATGCCATGGCTGTAAATAACTGTGCGCCGCTACCTCCCGGCCCAGGGGCGGTGAGCATTTTAAATCAGAGTCCCGTTCACACGACCATGTCTGCAGCCGCCCTGAGCGGCCCGCTCCCTGTAGCGGGATCCGTATGCCTGGCTCCGGCTCCTCATTTCTCCGGGAAAAGTCTTTGTCTTAAATTCCACACGTGGACGTGCGCTCACTGCAGACTTTCAGGGCTTATTAAAAGCATTAATTTTTAACGCGTTCTCTTCTACAATTTTCCTGTAGCGATTTCATATTTATTTTATCCAGCTGATGGGAATGTGGTTAATTAGTTGTGTAGTTCCTCGCCAGTCTCCCCCGAAGGCTATAAATAAAAAATTGGGCTTTTATTGGGCTACTGCTTTGAACTGATTTAAAAGAATTGTTTATATTTTGTATCCCAGTAGCAAACTGTCTAGATTTTTTTTTAACATATAAATATAAAATTTACCCAAAAGAGTTGTAGTAAAATTGTTTGGCATGGCTTTTGCTAATCAGAGGCCACTGTTCATAGGTTTGGAGTGATCTTCAGTTTAAATAGCCTCATTAGGGTGAACTCTCAATCCCCTTCATCAATATGATGCTCTAGGGCAGTGATGGCGAACCTTTTGAGCTCGGCGTGTCAGCATTTTGAAAAACCCTAACTTAACTCTGGTGCCGTGTCTTTTTTTTCTTTCAATCTCAAACGGAGTATTCCACCCCTCATCCCCCAGAGAGACAGCAGGAAGTACTGTTGCCAGTTTCCTTGTGTAATTCTTGCCAAGTAACAAGGGAAGGCATGTGCGAGATGCAAGATAAGTCCGCCCACAGCTGGGAAGAGCAGTCAGCACCTTCCTTACACAGTCCCTTAGCGTTCAGCTGGTGTTATTCCTTCCGTCGTTGAAGCACAATGTGGGGCCTCGACTGAGCCACGCACTCTGCTCTGAGATGGGGATCCCAGGACTGGACTTTGGCCCTTGCTCTTGCAGAGCTGCATATGGGATGAGAGAGGGAGGTAGTGTTCAGGTCATCTTGGAAGTGCATAGGTGATTGGAACAGGTGGCGAGAGCTGTGAAAGGCGTGCACGCAGGGCTCGGAAGGCACTTACCAGGGTGGAGATGTTGCCAAGAGAGCTCCCGTGACGTCAGAGGGTGCCAGCGCGTGTCTGGTCCTGAGCACGGAGGGTCTGGGGACCTCAGGGAGAGCCATGGAGCTGGGGTCAGAGGTGATGGGGTGAGGAGCACAAGGCGAAGCTGCAGAGAGAGAAACAGACCGGGCCAGACCCTAAAGAGCTTTCTGGGCCAATAGTGAGGGTTTTGAAAAATCTCCCAGCAGTCGGAAGCAACGCGTGTGAAGTGGGAAGATAACACGATAAGCCTTGCGGTCTGCAAGGATCCCTCTGGCTGCAATGTGGAGAACTTTCTTGAAAAAATACTCCCGGCCTCTCTTATCCCAGTCCTACACGGAGTTGCTGCAAAGTGAAGCCTTTTCGCTCGCTACCCGTAGGAAACCAGGCAGTTCTCTGCTGAGGAACTTTATTTAAGGGTCTACTTCTAGAAATTCACTCGTTCTCATTGGCCCTCATTTGTAATCAAGGCAGAACATCTTAACAGAAACCGTGTCAACATCACGCGTTCCATCGCTGCCTGTGTGTCCTTGCTGGTCAGCATTCGGTTCTGGATCTCAGAGTGGACGTGAGACTCGGCACCGATCCGCTCGGCACCCGAGAGGCGAGGCCTCGAGCGCAGTCCGTGGGCTCTGTAGAGGGAACCAAGTCATCTTCACAACAAAGCGTTGCTGTGGGAACCTGACTGGTAGCCCAACGCAGAACTCCGGAGAGGGTCAGGAGGCCTGGGGTTTGAATGTTGGCCGGCTACCAAGTTTCCTTGTGACCTTACACAAGTCATTACCCTTGTTGGGGGGGTGGGGGGAGGGATCTTTAGTTTCCTTGTCTTTAAAATAAAGAAGTCAAACCAGGTAATTTCGTATTTAAAAGAGCCCTTTCTACTCAGACAGCCTATGATTCTAAATCTACAGTTCGAGCCCCACCTGATGACGCAGTATCTTAAGGATCCTTTAACCTTTGGACGTCTTCTCGGCGCTGTCATTAGACGGACCGTGTGCCATCGGGGTCACAAATGCCCCTGGGCCGGGTCTGCGTGTCCCCTAGCTGTCTCGAGCTGGGGAAGATCCCGACTTCACTAAGTCCTGGGGCCGCCCACTTCTCCTCGCTACAGATGAACTAACTGCTCATCAGATCAGGAACCAGAGTGGGTGGGGAACCCCATTTAGGGAGGAGCAGCAGGCGATTGGGAAGGTCTGGAGAAACGTGGGTGGGTTCTAAGGGGGAGCGCCCCCCACCCCCATTCCCCGAAGGTCACATGGCTTTTAACAGAAAAGTGAGAGCACCTTTACTTTACATATTTAAAGCAAAACAGATCTTGGCATCAGGAAACACTAACACCATCTCAACAGAACTCCAAGGGAAACTAGGTAACCGCAAAACGAATTTTGTAATTCACTCTGAAGCAATTCCCCTGGAAGGTTTGTGGAGATTGGGTCTGACTTCATGAGTCTTTAGCATATAGGAATGAGTGAGCTCAAGTTTAACTGGATGCCCTTAATGCAGCGGTTTGAACAGTGTGAATTCTGTTTACAGATTATTCTGCTAAAACTTGAATTTTGTAATTCTTTTTTTTTCTTCTGTTTAACAAAAGTGGATACAGATGTTCTATGCCGTTTTTTTATTTGAATCAGTGGAGGGGCAAGCATTCACTGTACATAAGGAATCTAAATAGACCTGGCTATAGGTCTAGCACAGCACCGATGCCGTCTCCCCGGGGAGCCCACGTGTGTGTCCAGCACCCAGATCACGGGATCGAGAGTTCCCAGTGTCCCAGAGGCCTCCTCGTGCCCCTCTCGCCACTCACCCCACGCCCAACTAACCACCACCCCGACTCTGGCACCGTAATTTAGCTTTCCCCCGTGTTTGAACTTTATATAAACGCTCCCTTTTGTGTCTGGCTCCTCTCGCTCAGTGTTGCGTGTGACATTTCGTCTGTGTCCCCGCATGTGGCCACAGTGCCTCCCGCAGCTAAACACGGGCCAACACGCTATGTATAGCCTCCGGACCCGATCGGGCGTGTGGCCTCCTGTTGCGCACCCATGAACTCAGAATGGCCTGGATGTTTGTAAAGGGTTGTAGAGAAAATTAGCAGCCTGCCTGGGGCCTGCAAAGCCGAAAGTATTTGCTGTCTGGCCCTTGGTAGGAAAAACTTGCTGACCCTTGTTCTCCGGTGTTCCATTGCGTCAGGAGGCCACCGTTGAGGGACCCGTTCTCGGGTGGTAGACGTTTGGTTGTTTGCTGGTTCGGGCTGTTTTGAACAGTGTTGTGAGGAGCATTCTCGTGCAGTCCTCTGGGTGCACGGAAGTACAGATCCCCGGGCGGGGTGCAGCCCAGGGTGGAAACGCCGGTCACAGGGTGGTGGATGGTGCTCAGCTCTGGCGGATGCCGCCCAAACAGCTTGGGAGAGTGGTGGTTCCGTGGCACGCTCCTGGCAGCCACTTACTCCGTGCCTTCCCAGCACTTGGGATTGCCGGTTTTAGCCGGTTCTTGTGAGTTCAAGGGATGGCATGTGTGGTTTTGAACTTGCATTTCCTTGGGGACAACTGAGGTTCAGCCTCTGCTCATAGGCCTGTGGGCCATTGGATAGCCGCTTATGTGAAGGGCCCATTTATTCCTGTCATTGGCATTAGCAGTTGCCCTTTTTCCGTTGAGTGGATGGCTTTCTCTCTCTGTTGACATACAGGGGTTCTTTGTGTATAAGTAAGAGTCCTTCCTGCGTTTATGGGTCACAGCTGTTTTCTCCCATTCTGCACAGGGCAGTGCCTGGCTGCAAAGATCTGGAGCAGGCCCTGGCCGGTGTGGCCCAGTGGTTAGAGCGTCGGCCTGTACACCAGAGGTCGCAGGTTCGATTCCTGGTCAAGGGCATGAACCTCGGTTGCAGGTCCGATCCCTGCCCTGTGTGGGAAGCAACGGGTCCATGTCTCTCTGCCATATCGATGTTTCTCTCTTTCTCTCTCCTCCTCTCCCCCGTCCCTACCACTCTCTCTAAAAAGCAGTGGAAAAAAGGTCCTCACTCCTCGGGTGAGGATTAAAAACAAAATCTGCAGCTGATGTTTGGTAGCAGATGTGCTTTTCAGGGAAGCTTTTGCTTTTCTTACACATTTTTATGTTTTTTTTCCCCTTTGTTCTAGGATTGTCCTTTCATTGTCTGCATGACCTACGCCTTCCACACTCCAGATAAACTCTGCTTCATCTTGGACCTGATGAACGGTAAGCGAGTCGGACTCCCTGAAGGACGTAGCCGTGACCCGGCCGACGGGCAGGTTGGGTCTCTCTGATCAGTCGTTTGCCCCTGAAGATGGAGGCAGCCTTTTACTCTTCAATCTAATTAAAATTCATGTAAAATGTTGACCTGGGTTTCCCTCTGCCCCTCCCAGTCTTTCCCTGGAAGTTGCATTTCCTAGAAAAGATTTTCATAAAATACTTAACAGTGAAACGTGATTTTCTGGAATGCAGCTGGTCTGGGCCGTTAATTAGCTTGTTGCCTGGCCCTCAACGTTTAGGAATGAAATGTCTCATAAGAATATAGGTTAAATGTATTTAAAATCCAACTTTGAAGGATGTTCGCCTGATTTTCTGTACCTTTAGCCCAGAACAACTGTACCTTGACCTTTTAGACTGTGAGTGAATGATGGCCTTTAGAATGGCGAACAAGGTTTAGACAGAAAAACGATTTCTAATACTAGAAAGCGACACGGGGTGGACGGAGAGTCTTTTTGGTAACAAGAGCTAAAATAAAAAGGCACACAATTCAACAAGTAAAGTGCCTTTTTTTTGAGGTTCCTGGGATGTTTTATTATGTTTCGAGTGTTTGATTTAAGACTGGATCTGTCCCACGACATGAAGGAATTTCACAGACATAATAACGAACAAAAGCAGCCAGACGCAGCGGCCTGCGGTCTGTACGGTTCTATTCATGTGACCGTCAGAAATCAAAGTCAGGCACGCAGACTCTTGAGGACGACAGCGACTTTTCAAATCAACCCTGTGCCTCCGACTCCAGGGGGCGACCTGCACTATCACCTGTCGCAGCACGGGGTGTTCTCCGAGAAGGAGATGCGCTTCTACGCCACCGAGATCATCCTGGGGCTGGAGCACATGCACCATCGCTTCGTCGTGTACAGGGACCTGAAGGTGAGCTGCGCGGCCGGCTCGCCGGTCACCGGGTCCGCGCGGGGAGGCGTGTGGTCCGGGCGCTCGGACATTCCCGTCCTTTTCCTCGCTCGGCCCCGACGTCCCTGTGATGTCGGTCTCTTCCAGGCTCCGAACTCTGTCCTCGGAGCTCGCGTCTGTCCCGGTGGCCAGTCACCTCGGCGCCTGCTACAGTGCCTGGCGCAGCTCGGACGCTCATTCCAAAATTTTAACTGGTTGATTCGTGCAAAGCAGGGGCGGGCGCTTTCTGGTGTTGCTGCTCATGTTTACCTTTAATTGTAATTCGGTTGATGCTCACTAAGCCGCTGCCTTGGCCCTGGCGCTGTGTCAGAGCTGGAGATGTGCAGGGATAGCAAGCGAAGGACTTGCGTCTCACAGGATGCGCCCTGGTGAACCAGGACATAGACTGGCCGGGTCAGAGTTCATGGGGGGGGGGCGAGGCTGGCCAGCCTGCAGAGCTTCCCCCAAAGGCCAGTGCCAGAGCTTCACGTTTCGAGGTCACCTTAAAAACCACGGATAGATAGATTGTTTTAGGTCCCTGAGCTACAGAACCCCAGCTTGCTATGCTTGGGCTTCTCTTCTTGTTTTCTTTAAAAAAATCTCACTGGTGCCTGGCCGGTGTGGCTCAGTGGTTGAGCGTCATCCCATGCACCAAGAGGTCATCAGATCGATTCCCAGTCAGGGCACCATGCCCGGGTTGTGGGCTCCATCCCCTGTAGGGGGCATGCAATTTTAAAGCTTTCTTCAAAGTTAATAAATTATTCTCTTAATTTTCACAAGAGCATTAAGGAAAAATATTGTTCTCATCGAATAGAAATAATGAGACACTGGCTGGTATGTGACATTTTATTTCCTCGTGTGAGTTTTACAGAAGAATAAAATACAAGCCGAAGATCTAGAAAGCACCGTTGTAATGCGTTTCCATTTGCATCTGTAACCGGTTTCTGAGCGTCTTTATGCCATGGTTTTGTTTTCTCAGCTATTTAGTAGGCAGTGGTATTATTTAATTTCTATTCCAACTTCATCCTCGTCACTCATGATTATTCATGCTCCGCTGTTATAATAGCATGCCATTATTTTTATTTCAAGCGAAACAATGGTGATCTCCAGCAGAAAACGATGAAGACGACTGTAATTCAATGTATATCGGGGAGAGGAGCTTTGTTTGCCGTGATTATGCTGACCAAATCTAATCTCAGTGGCTACATTTCATCAGCGTTGCGGTCAAAATTACATTTGGTCATTTGGTGGATCGGGCACCAGTCAACAGAAATGACATTGATGGGGACCCGGGTGGCCCTGTGGAGTACTTTGACTTCTTAGGTCAGCGCCGGTAGCATCTTGCAAGATTCCTTTCTGTTCTGTGCCTCACGGTCTCCTTCTCAGAAGTCGTTATGACTCACAGAGGCACAGTGTCCCAGCTGGAAGGCCGGGAAAAGAACAAGCTTTGTCACGCTGATGAACTGTGCTCACAGCCCCTCTCTCTTACCTGCGCTTCATTTTCGTTAGTAGTTGAATCCTTCGCTACTAATAACCAGCACCATCATTACCACTCTCAGCGGAAGTTAACGTGCCACATTCATTCTCAGCATCATGCCCTCCTTGGCTGTGATCTCATAGAGCTAGAATTTGTGTTCAGGAAGGAACTGTGATAGGATAATGAGGTACCCCGTGCCTGTAGTTTTAGACTTCCTCAGAGCCTCCAGGCATCCGGGGAAAACTCTCGCAGATCACCTTCTCTTTCTCTTCAGCCCGCAAATATCCTCTTGGATGAGTACGGACACGTCAGGATATCAGATCTCGGTCTGGCCTGTGATTTCTCCAAAAAGAAGCCGCACGCGAGCGTGTGAGTAGTGCATCGCCTCTGTCCACCATCAGTTCTCCACTGCAGCCCGCTTGTTCCCTCGGACCCCGCCCTGGTCACGTGTTACCGTCCACACACCCCCTCCCCCATTTTTTTCTTGCCAGCCATGATTTTCTTTTTCTTTTAAAAAAAAATATATTTTTATTGAATTCAGAGAGGGAGAGAGAGATAGAAACATGGATGAGAGAGATCGGCTGCCTCCTGCACGCCTCACACTGGGGATCAAGCCCACAACCCGGGCGTGTGCCCTGACGGGGAATTGAACCATGACCTCCTGGTTCACAAGTCGACCCTCGGTAATAAATCTCTGAAGGTCGTGATAAGGAGAAATGAAATAGTCCGTGGGCCGAGTGCAGAGGCAGCTGTATGGGGAACTCTCCAAGGACAGCCGGAGGTCAAGTTTCTCCATCCACCTGTTCCTTCCTTTTCAAAATAACTGTGTGGGTTTTTGTTTTTTAAGAGAAATTAGGAATATTATTAAATTAAAAACCAAACATCTACTTGCAGTTCAAGCTGTTGAACATGGGTTGGTCCTCTAAGTGACCGCACAGGGGACCCTCCCTGACACCACAGCCTCCGCCACACCTGGCCCCTCAGGGCCCCCTGGACTGCGTGTGGCGGTGGCCATGCGTGATCGGGGCGTGTTGACACTGGCCCCAGGGCGTCTCTGAACCCGGGTTTATTCAAATGACAGTTGTGAGGGTTCAGTCATTGAATGAACGCAACACGTGTTCATTTACATTGGCCGTGTGCTAGGTGCTGGCAGTGCCGCGGCGACCATGACAGAAAGGACCCCTGACCTCCGGGAGGTGACCAGGGTGTGGGCTGGCGGTGCCATCGGTTGGGCCTCAGCAGTCCCAGGCAGGCACCGCTTGCTGCTTTGAATAGGTTGTTATCTTCACAGAAGCCCTGGAGCTTGTAGATGCCATTATCTACTTTCTGTGGTGGGAAAACTAGGCCACCGATCTGGCACATCCCGGGGCCAGAACTACAGTCCGGTCTGTCTGACTCCCAGGAAGTAGCCCCACCTCAGCATGGGCCATGCGGGTCCGCACAGGAGACCTTCCGCTCTTCATAGCTGTCCAGGTGGAGGAGGGGCTGACCGGATTCAGATGTCGCCTCCAGGATGGAGGACTAGTCTTCACATTGATTTCGTGGGGTGATCTCTTGAGGTTCATTCCTATCCTGGTTAAGACAGAAAGGGTTGCTCCCCCACCGGGTGTCGGATGGATCATGTCTGTGCAGAGGCTCCATCGTCCCCGCCCTTGTTCGCAGCTGCTGCCGTTTGGTGAGCCATTCAGATGGTATGAGGTGCCCATGTTCCGCTAACGCGCCACCCTTTCTCCTCCCCAGGGGCACGCACGGGTACATGGCTCCCGAGGTGCTGCAGAAGGGGACGGCCTACGACAGCAGTGCCGACTGGTTCTCCCTGGGCTGCATGCTCTTCAAGCTTCTGAGAGGGTGAGTGAGGCGCCCCCTCACTCACCGGCGGGCGTGTCAGCAGGGCCTGGGCTGGGGTCACCGTCAAGGCTGTTAGACTTGATGCTCTTCCGGGTCCCACGGTGATCTGTCAGCCACGTGCTCATCTAAATGAGGACCGTGGCTCTCTCTGCCTCGTGAAAGCGACAGCTCTGTTCCCGTAAGGTTATAGAAGAAAGCTTATGGTGTGGTGTTTTTATTCCATATCCTGTGGGAGTTACAGCAGTGATGGCGAACCTTTTGAGCTCGGCGTGCCAGCATTTTGAAAAGCCCTAACTTAACTCCGGTGCCGTGTCACATAGAGACATTTTTTGATATTTGCAACCACAGTAAAACAAAGATTTACATTTTTGATAATTTATTTTATATATTTAAATGCCATTTAACAAAGAAAAATCAACCCAAAAAATGAGTTTGCGTGTCACCTCTGACAGGCGTGTCATAGGTTCGCCATCACTGAGTTACAGCATACTTAAATCTGAAATAAGACCGCTTTGAAAAAATTTATAAAAATAATAAAATAAGACGGCTTTGAAATATTTCCATTGATACCCCTTATTTGAGAATAAGTGTTATTTGAAAATGTGGGTAATTGACAAAGGTAGGATTTTTTTTCCCCTACAGATGCATTACCCATGATTGTCTTGTGCGCTTAGGTCATTTTCAGGGCTACACACGTGGATGAAGACCCGTGATGAAGCCGTTTTAAACGTGCATTTATTTGTAATCCTGCTGACAGTAATTTGTTTTTAAAACGCAAAGATGGGATTGTGTAGTCTTGTGTTTCTAATTCATTTGGTGGTAATGGACCCTCAGTCCTAAGCTACCGAACATGGTGAAATCGAGGGGACCGATGACGCAGCAGAAGCGCTCTCAAAACGTGTCCTCATCTCGAACGATTAAACGTTGTTAGCATTTCCGCGGAGCTTAAGAACGTTTAGCCAGTTTCAATAGAGAGCTTAAGTTCTCAGCGTATAGTGTTGCTTTTTCTTCATTCGCAAAGAGGCAAAAAGCGCTCGACAGGAAAACGTCCTCGCCCAGGTTCGCCCGTTGATGTTTCCCTCGTGAGCACGCGAGGCTGGTGTTTGCTGACTTTCTCACTTTTCTGTCTGAAAGCCTCCTTGAGCACCACTCATCTTCTTCTCTTAGCACATCTGGGGAGAGGGCTGGCGCCCCACTCGGTCCGGAGCCCCCAGGACTCCGCCGATCCAGCTGATCTCTGCTCCCCCATCCGCTCGGGCACTGAAATTGCATTATTGCCTAGAGAGGCAGGTCTTGTCGGTCCTGAATTGAATTATTGTGTTTGTGGAGCCTGGATGGGCTTAATTCCCGTCATCAGACTAGCTGACCTAATTAGGGAGCTTCTGCCAGGCCAACCAGAGACAGCCGCTCCCACCCGAGACATCCTTCGACCCCTGGGAGTCAGCGGGCCCAGTGGGCGCATGCCGCTCGCCAGGGTCTTTGCCCGGGCCTCCCGAGGAGGTTAGAGATGCAGAATGCACACTGACAAGAAGTTCAAGATGATGAAAAACTGCAGAGCAGCTCAAGCGTTGAACGCACTGGTTCAAGATTCGAAAATCTGCCGTAAAATGGTCCAGGGAAGCCTGCCAAGGCCTTGTGTTCAGGGCTCTGTGCGCGTCTTTATTTTGTTTAATATTCTTACTCCGTTTATCATAACGTCCATGCATGTACATTAGGGACGATGTGGCATAGCAGTCTTTTTAGAAGATCTGAGGGTTTGGTTTAATAACTCTATAGGACCCAGCATTACCATCTGTGGTTAACAGCGTGAATTCAGCCTTATTTGGCCAGAATTCACGTCCGCAGTGCTGAATCGGAAGGGGGTCATCCCTCTGTGAAGTCCCTGGTCAGGCTCGGGCGAAACGGCACGTTCGGTGTGGCTCCTACGGAGAGGAGTCTTGGCCGACAGGACACACCCAGGGGTTGGTCATGAGGATGGGATGGGATGGGATGGGATGGATGGGTGAGGAGAAGAGAGAGAGCTAGAAGTCATGGCTCACGGGGAAGGTTGAAGGAGCTGGTGCCTTACTGACGGGGCGGAAGTCATACTGCGTAGCCCCAGAGGGGAAGCGTTGTGAGGCTGGGATAGGAACACCTTTTCCAGCATGAGCTGCCCAGGGAGGCGTGTCCTGCTGCCCAGGTAGCCAGCTCCCTGCCGCTGTCCGGGGACCACCTACTGAGCCCGAAGTGGGAAGAGTCCTTCCAGGGTAGGATGGGTCGGACCCGATGGGTCTTCCCCACCAGCATTTATGGTCTAATGCCATCCTGTTGTTCAAAAGCCGTTCCCAGGAAAGGATGTGGCGCTAAACCCAAAGAGCAGCAGAGTATCTATTGATTGAATGGATTTAAATTAAATTTGTAGAGCATTTATTGAGCGCCTACAGTATGCAAGACTGTGCTTGACGCTACGGGGAAAGGAAGGCCGGGGAAGAGAGGGAGGGGCAGGAAGGAAGCCACATCCAGTGATGGGAGAGAATCACGGATCGGCTGCCTCCTGCACGCCCCACACTGGGGATGGAGCCCGCAACCCATGCATGTGCTCTGACTGGTAGTTGAACCGTGACCTCCTGGTTCATAGGTCGAGGCTCAACCACTGAGCCACCCCGGGCTGGCCGAGCTTCTGTTCTCTGTGATTGAATACTCCCAGATGGACCAGTGTGTCCCCCTGCTTCTGCTTTTGTCTTGATGCCCTGGAAGAATGCCTCCGGGCAGGAGGGAAGGAACCGGTGTGAGAACGTTGTGCAGGCCTGAGCACGGGCTTGCATCCCTGAGTCACGGTGACGAGCCATTCGGAGGCCATGCGTTCAGGGCGGGCGCTGGTCGCCGCTTCCCCTGAGATGCCGTGGTCAGATGCTTTGGAGCATCTGTGCCTGCGCTGTGTCCACGTGGCAGGCGTGGAATTGCCGTCACGGTCCTCAGTCTGGGTTTCAGGTGTCTCTAGGGGAAAAGAATCGCCCTGTCGCCTGATCTTACGCTTGTCACCATTGATTGTCCCCAAAGGTGTCAGACGCGGGGAGGGAGCCCCGGGGGGGGGGGGGGGGGGGGTTGTCTGGGGAGAAAGGAACTCTGCCTGAGGGTGTTGAGGGGGGTCCCCGGGGAAAAAACAAGGGATGTTTCTGAGCATGTTGGCAGCTATTGGCTCAGGTTCAAAATGCGTGTAACACCATCTTTTTGGTATTTTAAAATTAATTTTCGATGTAAGAGGTTTTAATCACTTGTCATGTTTTTGAACCCATTGTTTCACTGTGGTGATGGTGTGTGTGTGTCTGGGGGTGGAGCCGCCATTTATCATAATTTGAGTGATTTTCCCACTCGTGGGGAGGGGACGATGCAGCTCTCCCACTCTGTCTGTGATTCAAAAGCCACGTCTGGCCGCTGCCCCTGTGAGTTGCTCCCATCACGTTCCCTGGTGCGGTGGGAACATTGCCTGTGCCACCGGGGAACGCGGCTCGCCGGGGAGCAGCTGTGATCACACAGGACCTGGGAGCACCACGCGCCTCGCTCCACACGGAGATCGTTGCTGTCGGGGCCTTTCTTTAACATTCTCCAAAATAGAAACCTAATCTTCGGTTTTGTTCACAAAGAATAATCAGGATTGAACGCGCTGGAGGCAGATGTGCGCCGGGCTTTGCGCTTGAAAGACCCACGTTTCCCAGCCCCGCAGCACAGAGCTGAGGAGCCGCCACGCGTCCCCGACCACGTCCCCTCCAGTCGGACATGGACGATCTCTGTTTATAACGTGGGCTTTGTGGTGCGAGGGCCCGTGCGCCGGAAATGTTTCTGGCACTCGCCAGCTCTGGCTGCAGTTCCCTTGCAGGCCTCCCTCTGGTCTCATGAGAAGCTTTTTAAATTTAGCACAGAGCGTCTCTGTGGGGGCACGGCAGGGCAGTCCTTCCCTTCCAGCCGTCAGGCGCAGGCAAACCCCGGGGTCAAGGGTGGGGTCAAGGGCGGAGTGGGCTCTCTGGCGCTGCACCAGGAGCTGCACCAGGGGGTAGGGGGCCGCAGGAACCCCAAGATCCTCACACAGTCCCCTGCACACGTTCAGGGACTTGGCGGGAAGAGCTGTGCGGAGCAGAAAGACCAAGGTTTGAGTCAGATTTAATAATACACTTTGTTCCTGTCCTTTCGAACCATGAGCGTGCTCATTTCTCCCTGTATTTTGCATAGAGGAACGATGCCAGTGTTTTTTTTTAACGTTAGACTATCTTACAAGTAACAAAGCAGTACCGTTTGCTCTTATATCCTATTTGATTTTCAAATGTAGTAATTTTACATTTTTGTCCTTGGAAACAATTAGGGTAAAAAAAAAATACTTCCAATCTGCTTGGTACTAAGTCTCCTTGTTAATATGTGTTTTTTTCAAATTTAGTGCTTTCAAGAGATGGCAGTAACTTTGTATTTCACTTGCACGATGAGAAAGAAAACAAGGTGTGAGAGCGCCCTCTGTTGTACAAAATGAGAATGGAAATATTTCAGATCATAAATGCTCTGAAAAGGAATAATCTCATCAAGAGCCGATTCAGTGCATGGCTTCACTAATTGGGCAGGATGGCCCGATCAGTCCCAGTGAGCAAAGATGCGTGGGATTTTAGTGTTTTTGGTAAATCCCGTTGATTTGTGTGTGCGACATTCTAATCTCTCTCATGGCGTTCACTTGAGAATATTTCACATATCTCGCCTCAGATGCCTTATAAATACATCTATAGGATTAGTCATTCTACAGGCATGTCTTACTGTAAGAAAACGTAATCACTTATATCCCTTCTTTAACCTTCAAAGAAATAAGTCAGTGAGGCAGTGGTTTTCTAATCTGCATGTTAGCTGGTCTCTCCACATGCGAAGGTTGCCTTGAAAAGCCAGCTTCCCCGGAGTTTTAAAAACATGGCGAAGAGTAAGAATTCTGGGTTTTACGGAGTTGATCAAGCAGACGCTCATTTTGTAAAGTAAGGTTCATCTTTACTGATTCCACAAATGGCTTCTCTGTTAGATGCCGCCGCTCGCTGCCGTTGTCTTCGCTGCTAGCGCAGATGTGGTGGTGGTTCCTTATTGTGGCTGTCCCGGCACCGTTTCGGTGAAATGTGTGGCAGTATGCCCGTTTAGCGATGAAGAGTTGAGGCTGAAGTTTTACATGTCTGGCGCACAGCCGGTGTACCACCAGTCCCAGCGTGAGCCCAGGCGGTCCGACTGGGAAGACCGGGGTCTCCATCAGTAAAAAGGGAGTAGCAGCTCGGGGCTCTCGTTTATCTCTGTTAGCATCTGAGGGGTCGATTGCTTACAATGCCTGGCTTCTGGAGGGGAAGCGTTGTTTGTCTTGGGCATGTTTTGATTTGACTATAGTTCTTGAGGAACTAAAATATTTTTTTTTTTAAAAAAAATGTCAGTCAAACACTTAGCATGACAAGTGTTTGTATAAATGACTTCATTTTCGTGGACTGCCTACTGACTAATCATTTTAAAAAATATGTTTTTATTGATTTTAAAAGAATTGGAGGAGAGGGGAGAGAGAGAGAGAGATCATCGATGTTGAGAGAGAAATACTGATGGGCTGCCTCTCATATGCACCTTGACCAGGGATCAACCCACAATCTGGGCATGAGCCCTGGCTGGGAATCAAACCGGCGACCTTTTGGAACATGGGATGACATTCCAACCGAGCCCCACTGGCCAGGGCCTAATTTTTGTTAATATATTTTAAAACATCCGTTGGAATATATTTGCTGACGCGTATCTTATTAGTGCCGTGACTTTATTGATGAGAGGATCAGGCAGAGCCGATAAACATAAGCCTTGCTGTTTCTGGCCTCTGAAAATGATCAGTGTTGGTGGCTTTTGTATTTCTGTAGTTTTGAATAAACAGCGATGGAACACCATACTTTACCGAATATTAGTCCATGGCGTGCACTAGGTTGGCTGATACCACATTATAACAGAGTGTCCTTTCTTCCTGCAGCCACAGCCCTTTCAGGCAACACAAAACCAAAGACAAGCATGAAATAGACCGGATGACACTCACCGTGGTAAGGAGATGGACGACTCTATTTCTATTCAGTGTCGTGTTTCCTTCGCAACCAATGTAGAATTTTGCTTTCTTAAAATAAAGAAGCGAAGATACAATCCCTAGAAGAACCCCAAAAAAGGGGAAAAAAAATAATGGGAATAGATGGTAGGGCAGAAATGAAGATTTGCTAACAATCAGTAAGAAAAAAAAAAAAAAGATATATTGCCGAACCGGTTTGGCTCAGTGGATAGAGCGTCGGCCTGCGGACTCAAGGGTCCCAGGTTCGATTCCGGTCAAGGGCATGTACCTTGGTTGCGGGCACATCCCCAGTGGGGGGCGTGCAGGAGGCAGCTGATCGATCTCTCTCATTGATGTTTCTAACTCTCTGTCCCTCTTCCTTCTTCTCTGTAAAAAATCAATAAAATATATTTTTTTTTAAAAAAAAAAGAACAAGCTATTTAAAAAAAAAAAAGATATAGAAAATCAAGAGCGAAACCAAAGCAGTCAAATAAAAGGGAAAATGAGATGCAGAGAAGGGAGGAGACGTTCGGATTCTCTTTCGATTGACTTTGAAGATGATTGATATCCGTTTGATGTCTCTTTAGAGGAGATACTAATTGGTGGTGAATCTGTGATTTTGAACACCGTCCTTGTCCCAGAAACGCTCTGTCCGTCTGGTTGGGGGCGGCGGCGCCTTTCCCGTGAACGCGCCTTTGAAATCGTGTTCTCGTTTCCCCCCAGAACGTGGACCTTCCGGACGCTTTCTCCCCCGAGCTGAGGTCGCTGCTGGAGGGCTTGCTGCAGCGGGAAGTCGGCAAGCGGCTGGGCTGCCACGGAGGCGGGTAGGCTGCTGCTCGCCTGCCGGGACCGTCACGCGGGGCAGAAAACACTCCTTTTCAATATTTCATGTCCTTGTCCGTGAACGTCTTCCACTTCGATTCCAGTGGCGGGGGTGGGGGGGCGGGGAATCACATGGGAAGTAGGTATATTGTCTCATGTGTTCCGTAATTAAAGCTGAAGGAGTCGCCAACTTTTTAAAAAGTTTTTGTTGTTGTTAGTTTTTAGATAGAAAGAGAGAGAGAGAAACAAAGATGTGAGAGTGAAACATTGATCGCTGCCTCCTGCGCGCCCCCCACTGGGGGGTCGAGCCCACCACCCGGGCATGTGCCCTGACCGGGAATTGAACCGTGACCTCCTGGTTCATCAGTCGACGCTCAACCCCCCACACCAGCCAGGCATGGTGAGCGGTATTTCTCAGCGTCACCGTGTTTCCTGTGTTGCTTTGGAAGAGTGTTTTTTACTTGCTTGCTTAAGGGACGGGAACTAGTTGCTCCTCTGTGTTCCTGCCAGGAGAGAGTTTTTGCAGAATATTGCTTGGATCTCTCAGTGCGCGCTCACCACTGTCACGGCCTCTCCACTACAGGTCTCAGGAAGTGAAGGAACACAGCTTCTTCAGGGGCATCGACTGGCATCACGTCTACTTACAAAAGGTACTCCCCGTGGGACCCCACCCTGGGCACCCGCGTGCTCCCCGTCTCTGCTTCCTGGCTCTGGCCCCAGCGTCCCCCACCCCCAGCTTCCCGTCCGTAGAGTCCTTCTTGCTCTTCCGTCCAAGGGTGGCTGGATGGCTGGCTCGCTCCTCGGGGGCTGCTCGCTGTGCTGCCTCTTCTTCCCCTAGTTTAAACGTCTTCAAAATACCTTCTGCACAAATTAACAAGTGGCGACATGGAGCTGACATGTAGCGAATTCAAATGCCCACGGGATTGAGGCTTTTTCGCTTTAGCTCTTCTGCTTGACTTTTTATCTCAGTGCATGACTGTATTTTTATATTTTTCCATATAGAAATGTACAGGAAACATTCATCGTAAATTTACATACACTTTCTAGCCCAGTACCACGTAATTTAAGAATTCGCGTGATTGCATATCAGCATAATTCCCCTATCTTATTTTAAGGTATTTTTATTTTCTCACTGATACAGGAAAACACCCCAAGTGGGAAGGTTTTTTTGTTTGTTTTTTAATGTTGATTATCAGCTTTGGACTCTTTTTTTGCATAAACTCACACTGTGGAGGAATAGTGATCTGTTAGCCCTGCCTGCGTAGAATTAGGGTTCCGGCTCCAGGTACATTAATATCGGACTCAGGACTGTGTGGTGTGGGGTGTTCTGTCTGCCTTGAGGGGCCCAGCAAGTGGAATGTGGCCCCCAACCCCCCCCCCCCCCGAGAAAACGTGCTTGCTTAAAGTTGAGCTGGGAGGATGTGCAGTCCTGAGCCTCCATTCCATGTAATAATTATTTAAGACTTACTTGGACATGAGTGTTGTTGGTTTTTTTTCCCCTTAAATATGTCTAAGATCTGAGGTCTTCCTTTGGGGCCATTCGGGGCAGAAGCTCCGTGGTGAAGCCTGTGACGTGCTCTGTGTGAGCTCGACACCGAGTTCCCTCTGTGGGATGGTGGTTGGGGCGGGGCCGTCGGAGCGGCTGGCTTCTGACCCTTACCCCTTTGGGTCCTCCAGTACCCGCCACCCCTGATCCCTCCCCGAGGAGAAGTGAATGCGGCTGACGCCTTCGACATCGGCTCCTTTGACGAAGAGGACACCAGAGGCATCAAGGTGCTCGCGTGCTGTTGGCCCTCAATGTTGTCGGAGGGTGCGGGGGAGTTTCTCATCGGAAATCAAACGCTGTGGTTGTGTCAGTGTTGGCCCGCCCGTGGGATGTAACTTACAAAGGGCCATCTGCACATTTGCAGAATGTAGAAGTCTAGGACCTAAATGAGTGAGAAACTGAAAGCTTTTTGGGGGATAATCACTCTGTTTGGTCAACTGCAAAATGGTCAGATTTTGACTGACCTGGGTAGATTGGTGATTGAAATAAAATTCCAGTGTGTAGGAAGCAGGAAAAACAACCGTGTGAAAGCAAACCTACTTCTCGTGCCCCAGAGCCAGTCGTATTGAATTAGAGTTACAGTCAGCATTCGACACTATTCTCCTAAGCCTCAGATCTCTCTATTCGGGGTGAAAGGCGCAAACCCTGTGCATCGTGTTGCATTTGTCAATCAAAAGTGAAGTAATCACTGTTGTTTAAATATAATCCTCTGCATTTTTCAAACTTTGGCTCGTATCACTATTTTCCCATAGACAGGGTATCATTATGGATGGTGAGTCATGAGAGAAAATCACCCTCTTTGGGGTGCAGAGTCACTGCACGTCAGGCTCCCCCAGCCCCCACTGTCATCCCAGGACTGCCTCTCCCTCCTGGATACTCCCGGTCTCTCAGCTGCCTGCTTTTATACCCTTCTTATCTAGCCCCCCCCCCCATTTTTCCTACCTGGTAGCTCCCCCTCCTGAAGGCCAGGGCACTGTTAACACACACACACCTGCGAGGCGTACATAGAAGACTGCCACATGCAATGCCCGGGCCCAGCAGGGGCTGTGTCCTGAGACACAGAATGGATCCCATGGGATGTGGGCAGAGACAGGGTGGGGAAGGGGCTGGAGGAAGCGTGACGGCGGCTGGGCAGGGGAGCAGACGTATGGTTTTTCCTGAATGCCTGTCACTTTCACACCACCATCGAGTCGAAAGGTCACCTTAGGTCAGAGGTCAGAGGCCAGCTGTACTCATCTCTCAGGCAAAGGGGTGAGCAGGTCCGGTTTGTATAGGGACACCTGCTTTTGCAGGCCACCTGTCGCCTCTCAGCAGGCCCACTCCCGTTTCTATCACAAACCTGCAGCTCTGCGGCCTAAAGCCGTTTTCCTCACTCGGTTCCGAGGTGCAGCCTCACTCAGGGAGAAGGATGAGGAAGCTGGAGTAACGGTGTGGAAAAGAAACACATCACGAGCGTCATGTTTATCACGGCTCCTCGTAAAGGCCAAGCTGCCCAAACCCTCCCTGTGTCTTGAGCTTTCACTTCTGCATGTGATGGAACTGTTACGCTTGGATTCGCTGGGAGGTTCATGGAGTGAATGACAGGTTTAGCCCCGCCCACATTTTGTTTTCCTCGATTTTCAGAGTAAGTGGAGGCGGCCAGAAGACTCTTCCGGCTTCTCCCTTTTCATTGTTTCTAAAAACGATAGGAGTCTATTTTCCACGTAAATCGAATATCCCCACCACAATGGAAATTTTATTTTGTTGTCAAAGCCTTTTCATACTCCAGATAAAGGCCAATGTGTGCTGGTTTCATCAGCAAAACTGCAGTGAATGTGAAGAACATTGGGGGCGAAGCCACCTGACCCGGGAGTGAGAGCGCAGTGCTCACCAGGGACAGCCACTGTGGGTCCCGGCGGCTGGGTGGTCCTCAGTAGGGATTTGTCACCGTGGAGAACCTGTTCTAAGCGGTTGTGTGCCATCGTGCCGCCCGGGTCCTGCGCCCAGTCAGGCGCCTCTCGCCTTGGTAAGCACGGTCGCTCATAGGCGTCTCGCTTTCTCGCCACACGCAGCTTCTGGACTGTGACCAAGAGCTCTACAAGAACTTCCCGCTGGTCATCTCCGAGCGCTGGCAGCAGGAGGTGGTGGAGACCATCTACGAAACAGTGAACTCGGACACGGATAAGATCGAGGCCAGGAAGAGGGCGAAGAACAAGCAGCTGGGCCACGAAGAAGGTAAAACAGCTCACGTCGCTCAGGATTTTCAAAGCAGAATATGTAACATAGAGTAGTAGAGTGATCTGTCATTCTTCATGCACTGAGTATTGTTGCTCTTTTCATTGTGTTAGATTTTTATGGCTTTTGGATATTTAAGTGTATTGTGGGCCCGGCCGGCGTGCTTCAGTGGTTGAGCATTGACCTAGGAGCCAGGAGGTCTCGGTTCAACTCCTGGTCAAGGCACATGCCCGGGTTGCAGGCTCGATCCCCAGTGTGGGGCGTGCAGGAGGCAGGCAGTCGATGATTCTCTCTCATCATTGGTGTTTCTGTCCCTCTCCCCCTCTCCCTCCCTCTCTGGAATCAATAATAACGTATTAAAAGTCCCCCGAGCGCACCCAGGGGACCTTGAAGCCCTTCCACTGTGCTCACCTCCCTTCTCTGGGGAAAGGGCTTCGTTTCTAAGGTGCTCTGGAGAGAAAAGGTCCATTGAGATCCCTCTGGGCTGCATTTGCCGTAGCAGATTTTACGTCGAACTGATGACATTCTATCAATGGTCGTTTGCTCCAAGGAGGGCCATGATGTCTTGACAAATTAGGCCCAGAAAAAAAAAAATATATCCCAATGACCTTGCTGAAGTGTTTCTTTTTCATTAGAGCTGGAATTAGAACTCTTCTAACCAGTTAATGAATCCATCTTCATGTAGAAAGAATTAATTTGGGCATATCTAGGTCTTGGTTGAAGATCTCAGAAGTCACCTCTAATAGAACAAAACACTCTAGGCCAGTGGTCGGCAAACTCATTAGTCAACAGAGCCAAATATGAACAGTACTTCTTCAAAATAGACTTACTTGCCCAGGCCGAAAACCGACTTCTGCGCACGGGCCACGAAGTTTCAATCGCACTGTATGTGCGCCCGCACGTGGTATTTTGTGGAAGAGCCACCCTCAAGGGGCCAAAGAGCTGCATGTGGCCCGCGAGCTGCAGTTTGCCGACCACTGGTCTAGGCTTAGATTTCAACTAAAAACACAAGATTTCAACCGTAGATATACTCTAGAAATGCAGGCACTTTTTCATGAAAAGGACACCTCCGGGAAGCTCACTCCCTGGTTTCAACCCTCTTTGGTGTCCCCCCGCACCCCGTCCTATGGGTGTTGCTTACATGTTTATCGTCTGACCTCCCTCTAGAGCAGTGGTTCTCAACCTTCTGGCCCTTTAAATACAGTTCCTCATGGTGTGATGACCCCCAACCATAAAATTATTTTCGTTGCTACTTCATAACTGTAATGTTGCTACTGTTATGAATCGTCATGTAAATATCTGATATGCAGGATGGTCTTAGGCGACCCCTGTGAAAGGGTCGTTCGACCGCCAAAGGGGTCGCGACCCACAGGTTGAGAACCGCTGCTCTAGAGTGTGAGCTCCCTGAAGGCGAGGGGGCTTGTCTGTTGCTCACCGCTGAGTCCTCGATGCCTACAACATGCTCAGCACTTGGCTGCTCACTTATTCTTGTTGAATGAGCGAATGAGAGAGGGAATGAATGATTTTAGCCCAATCACTCAAGCTTTTCATGAAGGCAAAGCAACCACTTAAAATGAACCTGTTTTTGTTTTAAGAGACAATACTTCCCTATAAAAGGTCATCAGGACTCAGGGTGAATGAATGAGCTTGGTCTCTCTACATAGCCATGTATTTGAGAGAGGAATATAACCTCAAGTCAAGGAATAAACAGTTTTGATCCTTGTGTTACTTTGGCTTAGCTACGGAAATCCCCACTCGGTTATTATATAGAAAACAAAAAGTAGAAGAAAGGGAGAGGCCAGTGCCACATAGAGGCAAAGGTACTTGGGGCTTGCATTCATTTACTCTCTGTTCTTCCATTGTCGTTATATATAACTAGAGGCCCGATGCACGAAATTTGTGCAAGAGTAGGCCTTCGCAGCCGTGGTGGCTGCCTGGATCCGTCCCTCCCAGCTGAGGGCCAGCTGCCTGGATCCATCCCAGGGGCTACGTTTGGAGGATGTCTGGTCTAATTAGCATTTTACGCTTTTATTATTATAGATGAAAAAGTCGTTTCAGAACAAACTTTTGCCCTCTCAGAGCAATAAACGACCACTGTGAATTTATCAGGAAGTTGAGAAGCAATTATTAGTGTCAGTAGGGAAAGAGCTAAAGAAACCTCTATTTTTTCAATTCCCAGTTCCCATGTGTTTAAAGACTGAAATAATGATTTCTGCAACAAATGACCAAACAAGACAAACCAGCAAAAGCGCAGAGACACAGACAACAGTGTGGTGGTTACCAGAGTGCAAGGGGGTGGGGGGAGGTGGTGGAGGGCAAAGGGGGTCAAACACATGGTGACGGGCGGAAATCTGACTTTGGGTGGTAAACACAATGAAGTATACAGGTGACGTATTGTACAGTTCTACACGTGAAACCTATATAATTTTTATATAGATTTAATTTAAATTAAAATTTAAGTATTGTCAAAATTTAATTTAAAATTTTATTTTAATTTAAAAATTTTAAGAAAGAAGTAATGATTTCTGTAATGTCGTATACTGCTGGAAACTTGACTTTTCCAGAAAGTGTGTACTTCTCTTTTCCTGAGGCACGTCTACCTGAAGACGTTCTGTTTCAGACCCTATTTAACTGACAGTGACTTTCTATTTCTCAGATTACGCCATGGGAAAGGACTGTATTATGCACGGGTACATGCTGAAACTGGGGAACCCGTTTCTGACTCAGTGGCAGCGCCGATATTTTTACCTCTTTCCAAACAGACTTGAATGGAGAGGAGAGGGGGAGTCCCGGGTAAGTCTGACGCCCGTTACCGAGCACTTGCTGTCGTTAATGTTGAATGGATGGCACGTGGTTATCGCATCGTGAGGACACGTCTTGTCAAGCAGCCTCGGAAGCACTGTGCACCTGTTTAACGTGTGTGCATGCGATTTTGATGTTCAGACTGTGACTTTTAGACTTCCGAGTCAAGGCAGGATTTTGTAATATCAGAAAATAGAATGTGCTGTTCTGTGAGGTCCAAAGCAGACAGGAAATTGTCCCACTTTTCAGTATATTTGAAAATTAAACAAAAACAAAACGGAAAAAAAAACTTCCTTTGTTTAACATCAGGAATCTTCTTATATATTATCCTATATCATAAAAGGCTAATATGCAAATCAACCGAACGGCGGAACAACCATTCGCTATGACATGCACTGACCACCAGGGGCAGGCGCTCAACGCAGGAGCTGCCCTCTGGTGATCAGTGTGCTTCCATAGGGGGAGCGCCGCTCAGCCAAAAGCCCTGAGCCGGACTCACGGCTGGCGAGCATAGCGGTGGTGGCAGGAGCCTCTCCCGCCTCCGCGGCAGCACTAAGGATGTCCAACTGCGGGCTCCTGGACTGCTAAAGGGCGCAGGCCAGGCTGAGGGGACGCCCCCACTGAGTGCACAAATGTCATGCACCAGGCCTCTAATATATATATATATGGCTAATATGCAAAGTGTCCCCTCGGGAGTTCAACCAGGAGACCGGGAGTTGGATTGCTCGCTATGACGTGTGCTGACCACCAGGGGGTGGCATGGAATGAAGGAAGGCCCTGGCTGGCAGCCAGGGAACTGAGGCCGAAGCTAGCAGCCAGGGAAGGAAGGCCCCGATCGGCCCTAATCGCTGGCCAGGCCTAGGGACCCTACCTATACACGAATTTTGCGCACCGGGCCTCTAGTGTGCAATAAAAAGAGTCAATGTTTAATGGCCCGTTTGAGAAGCTGCTTGGATTCGTAGGTACCAATGAGTTATAAGCAAACACGCGCGTTTATGATGTCGTTTCTCATTTAGGACTCCTGGAGTATTTATCCAAAAAAACATAAAATGGTAAGGTCCTCGGGACGCTACAGCATTCACCCTAAGCAATACTGCTATAGACCTAGCCCGCGGGGCAGTCCTTTAAGGATGTCACCTGTGTTTATAGCATCGTCTGGATATGATCGAAATAGCGTCAGCCGACAAGCTTGCATCGCCCGGCATTTACGGAGCTGCTGGGTGAAAGCTCAGCCTCTCACCCCTGGCTCCTGTGAATCGCCCTCGGCGCCCCCGCGTTCCCTCCCGGCTTTACTGATGGCGTTTAGATGGGTGCGTGGTGCAGAAAGCACGTGACTCACAGTCACTCAGACATCAGTCCCGTGTGGAGGGAACAGCTTTGCTCTTTGGCCTTAGAGACATTCCTTTCTTTGCAGGTTTTTTGTTTGTTTGTTTGTTTTTGCGGTGGTATAGTTTGCACTTTGGTATGTGTTCCTTTGTAGCCATCTCCCCCACTTTTAGAATATCCGCAAAGAAAGACAAACGCCAAGTTTTTTGTTTGTTTACTTTTCCTAAGTGGGTAGTTTTCGGTATTAGTTAGTAGATTAACTTCAGAAATCATGAATGATGTGAAGTAATCGGTCGTTTTTATTTTTATGATCAGCAAAATTTACTGACCATGGAACAGATTATGTCTGTGGAAGAAACTCAGTTTAAAGACAAAAAATGCATTTTGTTGAGGATAAAAGGAGGGAAGCAATTTGTCTTACAATGTGAGGTGAGTTTTTGTTATTCTTTTCATAGATGCAGTTTAGAACAATTCTTCCTGTCTCCCTCCCCCTCTCTCTCTCTCTCTCTCTCTCTCTCTCTCTCTCCAGCCACGAGGGCTGCTTGGTTAGAGAGCATTCTCTTACTCCGTGCTTTGCCACTTGCATACTTAGAAAGAAAGCCCTAAGGTTCAAAGTTTTCAGCAAATTCAGTTATTTTCAGAGAAGCAAATATTAGCGCGTGTGTGGAGGAAGCACGTGACATAATTTGATTGCATAACTCATCTGATATTTTGCCGGGTCCTACAATAGTACTTGTGCCCTAATTTTCCCGCTCTTCCAGCGTGTTGGAGTTTGAGTTTGGAATAATTAAGTAAATGCAAGATACCAAAGTGACCCTGCGAAGGAAAATGCCATGCTTCTCTCCCTAACTCTATTGTAGCCCCAGTTTAATTCCTGAATCCTTTTCCATTGGGGCACGAGAGAGAGAGAGAGAGAGAGAGAGAGAGAGAGAGAGAGAGAGAGGAAGCATATATAGAGAGATAACCAGTAGTAGATACACAAGTGTGTTTAATTCATCATTACATGGGAAGGAGCGTTAAACTTGTCAAAACTGTTCCTCTGTTATTTGAACTTGAGCTGTTTTGTGAGCGTCCTCAGTGGATGCGGGGGTCACGGCAGGGCCGGCAGGGCCCTCCTTCCCCTCTGGGGGCAGAAGAGTCGAGTGTGCGCTCACTGGGGTCGGGGGGTCTCGGGACTCGGGCATTGCCAGCGACGCCCACGTCGGCTGGCACAGTGGGCGCAGCTGTCACACCTTCTCGTGCGTTTCCCTGCAGAGCGACCCCGAGTTTGTGCAGTGGAAGAAGGAGCTGACGGAGACGTTCACCGAGGCCCAGCGGCTGCTGCGACGCGCGCCCAAGTTCCTCAACAAGTCCCGCGCGGGCGTCGCGGAGCTCGCGAAGCCGCCCCTCTGCCACCGGAGCAGCAACGGCCTCTGACAGCCGGGAGGGATGCCGGTGACAGCCGGGACGCGGGTCCCGGGGAAGACGGTGCCTGGGGGACGTCCCCACGGGTGTTCTCGGCCCTGGACGCGGAGCCTTTCGGAGGAGGAGGAGGAGGCCTAGAGGATGGATAGCTCATCCCGGTCCTTGCATCGCTGGGAAGACGCGGCCGCCGGGATGCTCCTGCTCGGGGTCCTGACCATTCTCGGCCCCGGGCGGCCTCCCTCCCGTCCTGGGGGGCCCCCCCGCCGGCCTCATATTTGTCCACAGTCGAAACTACTGAGGAAAAGGAAGATTTTCCTCCGCCACACACTCATTTTGGTACCTATGAACCTAGAACTTGAGGCGATCACTACTTACCAGTTTTTACGTCTGATATCAAACATATCTTGTACTTGTCCGGATGGAAGGTGCCCATCCGCCCTGTGGGCTAACAGGTCGCCCGGGGTCGCCGTGTTTTACCCAGAAACAGTCACTGCGGATTTTTGTACGTCGTTGCTCTCCATGCTCCTGGGATGGGAGGCCAGCCGTGTGATTCTTCTGTGCATCTCAGACCCGGCTCCGTGCTGTCCTGAGTTCGAAAGCTGAAGATGCTTTCTGGGACGGTTGTGCTTGGGCCCCTCACCGTGTGGCCGCACCCCCAGCTTCGGGTCTGCCCCCCCCTCCCCCAGGGAGCGCTCGGTGTGCTGGGCATGGAGGGCACGGCCCCTGAGGACACGGGAGCCCCGTGGGAACTGCAGGCGCTCAACCACTGGAGGCGTTGACAGCGATTCCAAAGGCGAGGCCGGCGCGGGGTTTTAAACTTCAGGGTAATGATGATCGTCAGAAATCTTCCAGGACACGAGCCGCACTTTCACGTGTCCGGGTGCACAGGGACGTTTGGGGGCGAGTCCGTTGGGTTTCGACAGCAGGCCGTGGTGTGACGCGGGCGATCTGGTTCCTTCTGCCTGACCCCAGAGAACATATCAGCGATGGATGTGTGAAGGAAGGAAACTGTTGTACCTTTTGGTGTAATTTAAATGAATTTTATTGAAAAAAGAACGAATGTGTCCCAATGGGTTCCTTGTGTATTTGGATCTATGTTGTCATTCGTGAGTGACCCCGTGCCCTGGGCGGGTCGTCCCGTGACCGGGACGTTAGAGCGTGAAGACTCTTCGCCTGATCCCAGCGGCGGCCTTTCCCCGTGGTTTTCCCCTGGCGAGTTCCAGGCCCTTCTCACGCCCCAAGTAAATGCTGGGTTATAAGAACCAGTGTGTTTGCCAGCAAAGCCCTCCGTGTCATCAGACTAAAAATAATAACAGCAATTTCAAAAGTCCACTTGTTGGTCCTGTTCCCAGCGCACTTTTATTGTTTGTTTCTAAGTTAATAACAATATACAAAACTTGACATCGTAATTATCTGCATCCTGTCCTTGATCTTTTTAGTGGCTCCAAATCTTCGTTTTCACATTCCTGTGCTGTGTTCATTGGGAAAGAAAGTGCTTTTTAAATGAAATTCTATTTGGGGGATTGGGAAGATAATTACTGGCAGAGTCTTTCATTTCCTAGGAGTTACTTTGGGAAAGGAATCGGGAGGGTCACTGTCCATCTCAAGTCTTAACTGGAGTTTAAATTAACACGCATGTTCTACTGCCTGCTATTTCCAATATTTCCAATGCACGCTATGCACATGCATTCTCGAGTTTAAAAGGGAAGGGTAATTAAGTTGCTTAAAAAAAAAGAGTAAAAAAAGCCACCAAGACAGACACGCAGTTGTTCACAAAGAGCGAGCATCTCCCCGGGCCGGCTAAGTGCAGCTGTCGTTGCTCTCGCCACCGCCAACACGCATGCTCAGCACGGAGAGCCAGAAACCTCGGGGCCTCGTGTGCCGAAGGCAGGCGGACCGTCCCCCTCCGGGTCTGGGCTTAGCGTCTCACGTCTCACACCTACGGCAGTACCTCCTCTGATTCGCATCTCTTTGAGAAATACAGTTTTTGCTCTGGGGTGGAAGGTAAAGTTAATCTCTTTTAGAAATTTAGGAATTGCTCCTAAGAGAGATGAATGGGAAGGCAGCCTGAGAGCCCTGTTGCCTCAGGCTTATCCCAAGTAAACTTTTATATTCCCCCAACTCACACTTGACTGACAATGGCATGGCTGAGGAGGGCCTCGCATGGATGGACTTTACTGATGGCCCTCTGTGGTCTCCGGTTGTGTTGGGGTCTGGGTGGGCAGTCCCTGGGGAGGCCGGTCTTCTGCCTGAACTTGTGCCCACAGCCCCTCTGATGGGGTGTCCACGGAAGGTCCTAGAAGGTCAAAGAGGTTCATTGGTATATGTGGCTATTCTAGACAGTTTGAAATTGTTATGTCATTTCTAGATGTTTGACCCTTCCTGTGTTTGGACCATGTAAAAAGACAAAATTCTGCACAAGTTTTCTCATTATTTTAGATATACAGAGATGGTCGGGGTATTTTAACATTGTCGAAGAAGATCATCGAATTGGTATTTTTATATAGTTGTGGTATAATGAGCCTTGATTTCATAATTCAAAGGAATCAATAAAGCAGTTTAAAAATAATAGTTTAAGCTGCTATAGACGGAGTAAATTTAAAACTTTTATGAACCCCAGGTTATTTTTTTTTTTAACCTAAAACTCTCTCTTTGGTGCATTTACCCCTTCCTGTCATTGGGGCTCACGATTTTTTTTCTTCTCTATCATGTTTATGGGTGATTTTCCAGCAAGACTTCTAGAAATTAGCTGTCATTTCACTGCGAAGGCAAAGGTTTCATTACTCGTGCCTCTGATTGGTCAGTTCAAGGAAATGAAAGCCTCACGTTCCAGGTGCACCGAGGAACGGAAGCATCCTGCTCGGAAAGACAGCAGCAAACCTGGGAAAAATAACCAAAAGAAGGAAGAAGGATAACAACAAACAGCAACCTGTTTCAAGCAAGACTTACCTTGATTTGCAGTTTGAAATATACCATAAGATACTTGAAACAATCGTTTTAAGGCCTTCCCTGGCCACTAAAAAATGTATCATTTACCAATTGACAATAGGATTTAACTAGATTAAAAAGATCAAAGTGTAGTTTTTTTCTAATGATTTTTTAAAAAATTTCAGTCAGAATCCTAGTTGGGTCAATTCAATTCCATTTTAAAAATTTTGTCCTGATATAAAATGTAAGGGTTGGGAATGAAGAAATAATTCTAATCGTGTATTCATATTACAAAGGTCTTGACCCTGGGTTTGCTTCTCAGTTGATTATGTTCCATGATGTATATATTATATGTAGTTTGTGAGTGAAACACTGGCCATTTTTAGTTTCATTGTTAAACTAGAGGCCCGACGCACGAAATTCGTGCAAGAATAGGCCTTCCTTCCCCCGGCTGCTGGCACGGGCTTCCCTCTGGCACCCGGGCTTTGTCCGGAAGGTCATCCGGAAGGACGTCGGTCTAATTAGCATATTACGCTTTTATTATTATAGATTGAGTTTTCCTGTGTTTTAACGAATTGCAACAAATAGATTTGGCTTTTTCTGGGTAACACAAAGATTGCTCAACGACATATATATAAAACAAGAGTTCTATTTTAGCGCAAAAGCATTTTACATTATTTACTGACTCCTTCCGTTTGTTTTCATCAACGACCTTCCTTATTATGTCTGCTCCTTTTTATTTGTATAGCTCGTTATTTAAAGAAATGGCAATCCTTCCCATTTTTTTCACAAGATAAAATCGAAACGAGGCGCCCCGCAATGCCGGGCACACACCTCACCGCCACGGCCACGGCCTGTTTCTGCAATAGCCCATCCTCTGGTCTGAGCGAGGAGGAGGGGGACGAACTTTTTAGGAACACCCGACAGCGACCTCGCTCTGAGTTACTGCTTTCATCTACCTCTTCCGAAGGCCTCCAGATGCTTTATTGGCTACAGGATGAAAGAACTCCAGTGAAGCATTTCGCCTCACTCCCTGGTGATGTCGATTTGGCCGTGAAGCCCCAGCCTGGGTAAGGGCCCCAGTGAGCGGGTACTCAGTTTCCCCCTCGTCATGGCCATCCCTCAGGAGCCGAGTTCGCCTGCAACGCCTCCTTCATTTCCTGCTCTTCTTGTGCCAAATCCCCACCATCAGTCTTGCCATCGCCTTGAGATTCGATTATTGCCCTTGATTTATCGAGCGCTTACTCCTGACAAATCCGCAGTGTTTAAAAACACCTGCTTCCGGGAGTAGCCCTTCTGAAGTGACCTTTTCCCCCTTCGCTGTTCCCAGATGGTTCGAAAAATGGGGTCACAATAGCCAATGCCCTGGTGAACGATCGAAACTTGGCAAGAGGTCGGCTTTGCGAGCGGACCCCTGAGGATTTACGTGAACGAGAATGAAGATCGGACCGTGAGGGGGCTTCCTCCTGATGGCCTCTGCAGAGCCATCCATGAAGTGACATGTTTGCTGTATTCTTGGCAACGTTAATACCCTTCAAGAAAGAAATCCGTTTCGCACTGGGCATTGCTATACATAGGGAAGCCAGTGAGCTGGATCTTGTAAATCTAGATGTCGTACCTATGAAGTCACTTGTTTTCGCATTGATTGTGCCCTTGGGAGTTTCTGGGCCTGTCTCAGGATGCTCACTAGGGCACGCCTGACGTAGGGTCCCGCCAAGACGCTGTTTCTCATTCGTGGTCGCCGCCCTTGTGTGGCGTGTCACCGTCAGTATCACCATCTCTTACCGTCACTCTGGAGCAGCGAGGCTGGCTCTTCTGTGCTGAGAAATTACTTCTGTGCATCTCAATCAACAGGACCTGTGCAAAGACACCTCCATGGATGTGCTGTTTCTCTGTCTCCCACCCCCCCAACCCCCATTAAAAACTGCATTTATCCAGTTGTGGAGACATCAGGAGTGATTCATTTTGCAGAATCCTGACTTGGGGGGCCGGAGGGGGGATTCGTGCAGAGGCCGATTTTATAAAGGGAAAGGGAGTGGCTGCCAACGAGCAGTTCTGTTGATTCCGTGGGTTGGAGCACAGCCAGCTTCACGGTGTCAGGGGTGTGGAGACTGACTGCTTGCTCCTCCTGCAAGATCCATTACAACAGTGGCTCTCAACCTTCTGGCCCTTTAAATACAGTTCCCCATGGTGTGACCCAACCATAAAATTATTTTCGTTGCTACTTCCTAACTGTAATGTTGCTACTGTTATGAATCGTCATGTAAATATCTGATATGCAGGATGGTCTTAAGCGACCCCTGTGAAAGGGTCGTTCGACCGCCATAGGGGTCGTGACCCACAGGTTGAGAACCGCTGCATTACAAGGAAAGAGTCCGTGAGAGCCAGGGCCCAGGGGAAACCCAGGAGGTCCATCTCATCTCCCGTGTGTCCCACAGCTATGCCAGGCTCCCCAGCTTACTCTGCGGGCGGGTGGTGGTGGTCGGGGGGTGGTTACTGCTTTCTGTGAGTTACTGCTTTCATCTACTTCTTCCGAAGGCCTCACAGATGCTTTATTAGGGGATTAAAGTCCCTCACAGCAGCCTGGGCAGAACCGTCTGCTTGTGGGTCGACAGGCCGAAGGGGTACAGTGGGTACTTGCCACCCGTGAGCTGGGCGCTAGTTCAGGAAAGAAGGCAGCCACCGTGGGGCCACATGGCTAGCGAGTTTTCCTGAAATGTGTGTGTTTTGTGCTTCCCGATCTGACCCATGCAGTCAAATGGGCGTGGGGAAGCCCTACCTCATGGGGTTGTCAGGAATAGTAAAGAGTGAGATGGTGTGGCTCAGCGGTTGAGTATTGACCTATGAACCAGGAGGTCAGGGTTCGATTCCCAGTCAGGGCACATCCCCAGGTGGTGGGCTCAATCCCCAGTGTGGGGCGTGCAGGAGGCAGCCGCTCAATGATTTTCTCATCATTGATGTTTCTCTCTCTCTACTTCTCCCTTCCTCTCTGAAATCAATAAAATTAATGTGTGTTTTTTAAAAAAAAAGAAATAGTAAATGAGTCCGGAGAGCCCTCAGGTTGGTGTGATCGCTGCTGCCTGCCTATCAGGCACGTGTCCTGCACGGATTGTTGGCTAAGAGGCAGCAGCTGTAGTTGACGGTATTTCCTCCCAGAATCCAGCGGGAACGGAGACCCGGGCTCCCCTGGCCCAATTCCTATGGCGTCCAGGTACCTGCTTGGGGCAGAGGGAGGCAGGAGTGTGGGTGCGTGGCCCGGCCCGGCCAGGGATGACGGGTGAGAATGTGCTTGCGTCGGGAGCTGTCCCCTCCCCTGCTCTGTGCCACCAAATATGTCCATGCTCTCCGATGCCTGGTCAACGGCCACCCCGGGCTGCCGTCCCCTGGCCAGACCTGGAGCTCACCGGCTAATTTTAGAAATGACTCGGGCACTCAGCTGCTGCTATCACACTGGCGCAGAGGGAGGGTGGGGGAGGGCCGG